AAATTCATTTAAATTAATTTGTTTATTATATTATATATAACATTTCTATTTATGTAAAATATTTACACGACTACATCACAAACCCGTTTGACTTTCTTTTAACGTATAAATTTCTTCAGATTTTGCAATGACTATAAATATTTCTGATCAACATATTGAAATTTCCATTATTAACCGATTTTACATATTTTTTCTTTCTTCTCTAAATAATTTTAAGCACTTATCGATTGAGCAAAGTGTACGGTATTTCACATTAGAAAACCTTGAGCTACTGAATATGAGAACAGATAATTATACATGAATTATACATGAGATAGTAAAAAGTCAACTAAATAATGTTTTATATTTAATTTTCGTCTCGTATTTTTTTTTATATTCCTGTGTTTTTAAATCTATTTCGGATATCTAATTTGGTCCGTGTTAAGTGGTTACGCAAAATGATAAACATGGAAGCGAATCTAAGAAACTGATTCGGATTAGGTTTACAGAATTACATACGACCGGAATTGGTAATTCTTAAAGCATTTCCCTTCCTTGTGAAGAAACGCCGGGCATTCTCTTCACAGTCGACTTTGGGATAACGTAGAAATATGATGCATGTAATGAATGATGATATTATAATATTTATTTATACATTTCCTGAGGTTTCGACGAGGTTGCACTGGCCGTATTCTAAAGCAACATAGTTTACGTTATTTCCCGTGCGTATAAATAATTTTATATTTACTGTGTCATGAAATAATAACACCGACAAAAAAATCATTACTATTGTATTTTAGATAATTTTAGATGTGATATGAATAAAAGACTTAAAACTCTCAATTAGCCAAACTGTGTTAGATTTTGCGGTTGTTTTATACAGCTTTTTTATTTAATTTTATCAGAGTTATTGCACAAATCAGTGTATATCAAAGCATGAATTAAGTAAATGCAGACAGAGATAACAAAAAAAAAACAGATAACACAATTGCAGTCTCAATTTTATGACTACATTTGTTTTATCACATAAGTACATGATGTTGCGTAGTAATCGAAGTCACAACATGATAAACTTTAAGTTCATACATTTTCTGATAGGTGTTAATGTAAAAATAACCGAATTCATTAAAATATACAAACATTTTTTATCAAAGTAACTGAACCTAGTAATAATAATACTTGTATTACCTTTCTGGAAATTTACACGGCCAATTGGGTAATGTCTAGCAGTAAATAGGCTGATAGGCTGATAGACTGATGTATAACACTAGTATATTCTTATATATAAAATTCTCGTGTCACAATGTTAGTTACCATACACAATACTGCAATACTCCTTCGAAACGGTTGGACCGATTTTTATGAAATTTTGTGTACACATCGGATAGGTCTGAGAATCGGCCAACATCTATTTTTCATACCCCTAAATGACAAGGATAATTTTATTTTTTGGCAAAACAACGTTTGCCGGGTCAGCTAGTACTTCAATATATTTCAATTCCTTGCTCATCATACGGGAACATTACCTACATTTTCTCTAGATAAAAAGTAGCCTATGTGTTAATCCAGGGTGTCAGGTACCTTCATACCAAATTTAATTAAAATCGGCCTAGACGTTTGAGCGTGAGTAACAAACATACAAACACACATTCACAAACTTTTGCCTTTTGTCAGTGTGCGAAAGTGTGATTCGGTTGTCAGTGTGAGACTGTTCAGCAGATAAGAATTGATTTCTCAAAAAGTGTATTTCTTCTCAATATTTTTCTATTTCAATTACGAGTACTATATAGAACTTTCAAGAGAAGGTTCAAAATAAATGTTCATACTATGAGGAAGCAGCGAATGACACCCTTTTGTAGGATAAGCCTTTAAACCGCTAGGGTTATCGCTTGTCACGAAACGATCTTATGTTAATTTGGTACGTTAACGGTAGACAAAATGCAGTTTGTCTAGAATTATTGTTAACGTTGCCAACTATAGCAAATGTTTATAGCCACAGTACTTGCCATAGCTATTAAAGTCTAGTCTATTCTGTTAATATTATGAAGATTGAGTCTCTTTGATGAAATATTACTAGAACTAAAACGTACTGTAATGTCTTCAATTATTTGCTACGCTTAGAAACATTTATTTTTACATACAAACTGTAAAATAGAGTTAGGTAATAAATTACAACGAGGCGTATTCGTATTAAATAAGCCGATCAGATATTTATATGAGTATAAAGACGGACCACTATTAGATTATTTTTGATTTGAGAGTGATGAAAACTTGGACAAAAAATAGACTACGTGGAATGTTTATACTCTTAATAAAGCCGTCAAAGTGAGATATGAGCTCCACAAAAAAGAGAAAATCCCTACTGACTATTAAGCTTTCAAACAACTATTACCGTAGAAAGATAGATACTATAACCTCAGAAAGTCTTGTTGTAGACAGAAAGAAAACAATATAACTTCAATTTTGTCCAAACAAACAAAGAGGTTAGCGGTTAGGTAAGAAAGCTGGACTTTGCGCGGTAACAGACAGTTCGACTCCCCAATGCATCCGAGTAAGGAATATCCCTTTCCTATCACTACCTTATCATCTTATTATTATTTCCTTTTGCTTTCATACTACAGTTCTAATTTCTCCCTTTAATTTCTAAGTGCTCCGTACACGGCAATAAAATTTCACACTATTACATAAATGGGACTTAAATTTTTCAGCATTACGTAAGTGGGACTAAACTTATATTTGGCAAAGTGTGGGCGTTTTAATACGCCTCTGGTTACTTCTTCAGGGATGGCGTGAGTGTATATACACAGGGACTAGCTGTGGCCAAAGTTATATGTTACTAGTTGGAAATAAAAAGAAAACAAGTGATCAAGCTGATAATGATGATAATACATATACTTGTACAATGTAAGCCACTAGGTCACATATGTCTATTATTAAGTCTATCAGTAAATCAATTTATCAATATAATCATCAGTAATCTTTAATATCTTAGTACAAAATTATATTGCTACTATATTGAGGAAAAAAATGCCTATCAGAATAATTACTATGTGTAGTTGTTTAAAAAATTCATATGTAATAAAATCATTATGACGATAACTTCTATATCCTTAAATAAATGTGGCATGTTCTGTATGTGACATTTAAATCTAGAGCATAATGTACAGTCATAGTCAAGGATTTAAATTTTTTTTTTTCCTTATCTGATAGTTTGGATAATTTTGGTAACAGACTTTAATAAGAATCTAATAAGAAATTATCAATAGGATCGGCATAGTTTTACTTATCATTTCACACGAAAAAAACTAAGCGCCACTAGTGATTATTATCATTACTACGCATATTTCAGTGATGTCTTCTAAAAAATGTAAAAAATATGAAATTGTATCATACAAAAACAACATTATACAAGAATTTCAGCCATTTAGAAATAATAAATAGCGCTCATAATATGTGTAATTAAGACTGTAAATACCTTATGCAAAATTATTTGTCATTTTTTTGTCAGATCGGGTTACAATTTTGGATTCTTGTATAGTTAGTTTGTGGTTATAGAGCTTAATGACATGCCTACTGTTGACGATACTGAGACCTACTCATTAGCTGATAGTTCACACTGCACTAAATTGAACTAATATCAAATTAATAACTTTTAACACATCTCGCACACTGCAGTCTTGCAGAGCTTGTGCTATGGTAACCAGACTGATAATACTTAAATATTTCTAAACACAGACATATTATACATAAATTAAACCCAGATGTAGAACAAATGGTTATGCTCATGACACAAATATTTCTCCTGGGTGGGAATCGAACCGACAAACGCATGCATGCGTCTAGTGGTCTGGATCCACCACTAGACGCACAGGCCAGTCACATTGTGTAATATAGAATGTTAAATCAATTAAATACTATAAAAGATGGTAACTTTACTGTGGCAATTTGGGGCAGCTAACTTGATAACATAACACATGAATACCCCTGAAATACAAATAAGTAACTTGTTTATCAGTGTTCAACAAACAAACCTTATCATTGGTAGAGACACTGACTTCTACTCTTGTTTACTTAAATGTGAGATTATTTTATCATAAAACTAGCTGACCCGCGCAACTTCGTCTGCGTCTCTCAATAGTAATAAATTTTCTCCGTTTTTGAAACATTCTTCATTGGTGCTCCGCTCCTATTGGTCTTAGCGTGATGATATATAGCCTATAGCCTTCCTCGATAAATGGGCTATCTAACACTGAAAGAATTTTTCAAATCGGACCAGTAGTTCCTGAGATTAGCGCGTTCAAACAAACAAACAAACAAACAAACAAACAAACTCTTCAGCTTTATAATATTAGTATAGATGTACATATCATAATATATGTACCTTTACTTCTTAATGGTTATTTTTTTATAGATACGAAAGTGATGTTCATGAGCATATCAGGATAATTCTGTATCTTACATATTAATAGTTATATCAATTGGTTTAATAAGTAGGCTAAGCTAGTACTCTCACTGTTTCTGTGTTAACTTTTATAGGAACAACATATTTTGGAATATTAAATCTATGTATATGTATAAAATGTATGTATTTACAAAAAAAAAGTATATATGTATTTATATCAGATGTCTAATACCCATAGTACAAACTCTGCTTAGTTTGGGACTAAATGGCATTGTGTGAATGTAGTAAAAAGAAATAGGCAAAATAATGCTTGCTATACTGTGACACAAGAGGCAGTTTTTTTTAAAATTAATAACTAGATGTACCCTGCCACGCTTCTCTCTGGCACATTGGTTGCCTTGATGAATGAGAATGAGGAACAAAACTTAAGCAAGAAATTAATAAAAATATTCATTCAAGCAGGGTGTTTGAAAGTGTCAGTTTTTGAAGCATACACAAACTAACTTAACATTTTTGTATAATATATATAGATAGAGGTATGACTTAAAATTTTATAAAATTAAATGTATGAATATTTTCTATCCTGATATATCCAATAAAATATATTAAAATTACTTACTCGCTAGTTTCCTTAGATTTTTCTACGTGCTTCTTAATATCTGCTAGAGACGAGTCCAGTCTATTGAGAAACTCATCAAAACTTTTTTTCTCGTCAGGGCTACCTGGAGAAAAGTCCCTTGTAGGCATGCCAGCTATGGAGGCGCGATGATTCGGCGGAGCCAGTTCTGTAACCCGTTCACCATTTTCGTAGAAAGGCGAGTCTCTTGTCACAGGAATCAATAAATACTCTCTCAAAAACAAACTGTCCGACGCAAACAAACGGTTCGCTCTTCTAATCTTTTCCATCTAGAACAACCAAATCAAATATTTAGAACAATGTTAACTTAAAACTAATAGAAAAAAATAAAATATTATCACTTTTATTGCGATGTTAAGACACTTACTGTAACACCATATTTGAGGGCGATCCCTTGCAGGGTATCACCTTTGGCCATGACATGCTTGATATATTCTTCATTCCTTTTCATATGGTTGCAAGTACTCCCATATTTTTTAAGGGGTCTAGCTGAATCACGAATAGAAACTCTTTCGTCAAAAAGACGTTCCTCCTCCATTTTTTGACGTGTGAAAATGACAGCGTCGAATGAACCGAAGTTAGCAATGAAAGTGGTACAATGACCCTAAGTATGATAAGCGATTCAATCAATCATTTTTCCTTTTTATTTTTTAAACTTTGTAGTTTACAAAAAACGGACTCTCATTGCAATGAAGTAAAAACATTAACTCTGCTCTGTTTTTTATTTTAAAGTTTGCGTTCAGCGTAAGCGCCATCTAGATCTCTATTTGAAAGTAACGTTAAATTTTTACAGTAGTCTGTAGTTTTTGGGTTGACAGATGTTTTGTTATTTAAAATACTGTACCACAAGATGACGCTGTTACTAATTTGCTAGCTCAATCCGGGCATTCTGTGAAAATTGCCACCAATCAAACATCGGTAAGCTCTAGTTCATTCACACAATTTCAAACTTTCAATCAATTCTGTTGTTCACTCAGTTCATTCAGTCTCACAGTACATCGGGTGAGAGGTGGTGTAGTGTTGTGTGATTTGGATTAGATGTAGAATTGTTGTGAACTAAAATATTTTCACTTGTGTTTACTATTTAACTATATATTATACTGACTAAAATCTCACCTCAAAAAATTTAAAATTGATTTGTTTTGACTATTTAAAAGTTTTAATTTATGGTTTGTGTACATACACATGTGAGCAATCAATAATATAATACTATCGCAATATATCAACGAAAAAAAGGGTATGTATGAATGAAAGTTACTATGTATTTTAAATTTAATGAGCCAGTGTAGACGATAGTATTTTGTCATTTAGACAATTTCGAGCTTGTTGTCCCTAGTCGGGCGCACACCGCCCTATTGCGAAAAATATATATTATTGCGAGGGTTGGTCGGCGCGTTCTGCTCGCGATCGTTTTTATTACTGTGGGGTTAACTTTTTTTAATTTCTGAGTAATGTAGAAACAGTTTCTCAAAAGAACCGTGAAGAAGAATCGTGTTTGGATAACACATTCTTTTACTTTAAATAAACTTGCAGTTATGACTGTAATATTTGCTAATGAGAAATCAAAAATATTGATAACACATTGATGCAAAAAAATAAAAATCGTAATACGTGTATGTAGCAAAATATACATATTTATAGTGATTTGAATCGCACTTGTTCGGATCGTGAAAACGTAATAGGTAAAAGAAATCCTTGACGTATAGTTGAGGTTTTTACGTATTACGTACATCAAGTAAATAATATAATTTCGTAATATGAATTTATACATATAGGTACATATGACTGAAGCGAATAGGGCATTAGGAACTGTTCTGCTGGAATTGGAACTGTTCGACTTGAAAAAAGGGGACTGCAGTGCTCCATAGGAGAACAATGAAATAGAGAAGATGGTGGTTAAAAGCTTATTAGAAGCCACTATGAAGAAACTACCTATCATGTGTTTTATCTCACGGTGTTTACAGATACCGGTGAGCGCTTACCACTACACGGTATTAGCTTCTTTACCAACTTGTGTTAAAAGTAAAAATCTCAACGAGCGTAAAAATAATGAACATATGAACTTAATAAATTTTATTATCAATTGTGAGTCATTTTTAACCGACTTCAAAAAAAGGAGGAGGTTCTCAATTCGACTGTATTTTTTTTTTTTTTTTTTTATATTAAACAATAAAGTCTAACAGTATTAAACTTTAAAAAAATATTAAAGGTAATTATGCTAAAATAACAAGTACAAAACCACATGCCTAAGAAGTAAAATCCTGCACAATGTTTAAATCCCTTTTAATAGGTCATGACCCCAATAAAATGCACCAATAAAGAAGCATAAATATCCAATTCCTAACATTTGAGTCAGAAACGACCCAAACATGCCTTCAAGTTATTAATAGAATGTTGTTAAAAAGGCGTGAAAGAAAAAAAGATACGATTAAGTTATGTGAGTCAGAGTAAACGGAACCAGTTCAGAGAATAACCTCAAGATCAGTATGTCATTATCTCGTGAATCACCGCCCCACAATTCAACCTCCAAATAACTTCCTATCTTTAATCTGTAGATTAGTAAAAGACATTATGATGTAAGACTATTTTATGACATACGAGTATTTATTTGTGTCGCTCTTTGGCTGTACGCTCTGTTTCCTAAATCTTTCTAGACTTTAATAAGTCAAAATTATTTGTCTATGCTAATTTACTACACGACATTCACTAAGATTAAGATTAAAGATTGTCGCAGTATAATGCACCATATAGTTACAATGCGCCGATCAAACATTTTATACGGGAGTACGTAGACTAAACATACGCGGGCATTAATTTAGCACCTTGTTCCAACAGCTGACTGCCTATTATGTTCGTCTTAAGCAGCTAATAATATAATACTCTCCTAATGAAACTTCTGCGCTAAGGACGGACTATTTCATATACTCGTATTAGTAAACTTTTACCATACGTCCTTGTTACTAAACAAACAACTCGACAGTAAGATTGCCTAACTGTAGAAGTTGTAAGATACCGTAAGTCGATAGTGGTGGTGACGTCACAAGTCCGAACGCAGATGATGCGACTAATGTTCTCGGATCCGGAGTTCGGTTTCCGAGAAGGATATAGCTGACCGAGTTACTGTTTTGTAATGTTATTTAAAACATCTCACCTGACTTTGAAAGGAGGGTAATGACGTGGACTGACTCAGCGGCGCTGATAATGTCGTTGAATATTATTCGTTTAAGACAGTCTTTTAGAAGTAAGAATATCTTCACTTTGTGTCTGTGCGGAAATCCCCTCGAATACCATCCATCGGTAGTTTTGTCAAACTTGAAAAGACCAAACCAGCACGCCGTTTCGGGTATCAGTAACCGGGGAACCAGGTGTAGCCTAGAAGGGAAATCCCTGGAAGAATATCTGCACTGCGGCTTCTTAAATCTGTGGAACTGCGGTACAGAATTCGGGGTCCCTATTTTCATCTAAGCACTTAGCTCGTTATGAACGTCTTATAACGTCAACCTACTAACTCTTTAGTAAGGCCTAATTTTACTAATAAAAACCAACATATAAAAAAAGTTCCATTAACATAATCAAATATTCTCTGACTTTAAAAGTAAGTAATCCAAACATAAAATTTGCAAATTGGGCCTTAATATTACGATTTCGAAAAAGGACTAATATTTATAACTGCGGCATCTTTTCATTGGAGCAACGTATAAAAACATTTCGGAGGCAATTAAACTTCGTGAAAGCAACTAAGTAAAACACAAATAATACAACTTGAAATAAATTGACTTAGTTTAAGACTTCTAGCAAATTTTAAAATGTTTTTTGTTGGAGTACCTATCTCATCTTCATTCTAAGAAATTGGTCTCGTTCAACATGAAGACATTGCTTTATATTACGGCGGGTGCCGTAATCACCACATTTACCAAAAGATTGGAAGGGTGATTCGTGCTGCCCATCCATCATAATGCCATCATATTTAGGACCCCTGCAGAATTACTCGATTCGGGTATTTTCGTTACTCTTACTCAATTCCGACGATCGTGATCATATTGAAGATATAATTGCGAAAGTTTGAACACAATTATGTACAGTAAATAACATTTAAATAAAGCACATAGCCCACATTTGTACAAGGATGTAAGTTGGTCGTATATATTCTGGCGCGACACAGATAATTATTGCAATATTAACTTCAATAATTTACAAATGACACTAGAAAGTATATTTATTACAACCTACAGATCTAAATTCATTCTGAATATTTTAAGATAAAACCTATGCAAGAAACATGACAAAGGTAACTACTTGTATAAAAAAATCTGCTGAGTTTATGGCCTCTTGAGTAAATCGATACCTCTATACTAATATATTAGAGGTAAAAAGTTTTTGAATGTTGTTTTTTAAGAGCGCTGATCTCTAAAACTGTCAGTCAGATTTATAAAATGGATAGAATATTCCGCCGCTTCCCATTGCGCTGAGTGTTGTGGGTTCGATCTCCGCATGGGACAACAGTTTGTGTGATCCACAAATTATTGTTCTTTGCCACCCGCGACACAGGATAATTATAAACCTAGTGCGGGAGTTGTCTTTCTAAAAAAATGGATTTCTTAAGAAAAGTTATAAATATACAAAAGTTATAAATAACATCCTACTACAATCCTTGCTGCGAACCTGTGCCCATAAATGCCCTAGTACATATAGCCCTAGTACATACAATAGAATAAAATTAAATAAATGTTTAAGTGTATTTCCTAATAAACTAATAACGTTAAAGGTTGTTATAAACTTTTATACAATTAGAGAATAATAGCTATAATTTTGTGCTCGCGTTATTTCACTTAAAAAGTTAGCTCCAAAGTGTGCTGTATATTTCAACATCGAGCTTGTTTCATTTACTTTATCACAACAAGCTTGCTCTTTTTGTTAAGAAAAAGTGCAGACATCCCAAGCAAGTTTAAAGTACAATATAACAAGGAATATGAAAACAAACAATCTCGACCGCGTCCAAAATAAACCCAATTAAAAGGAGCGTCCACTTATTCTGTAACGCTTGTAGCTAAAACATTGCGTTTTACGACATCATAACTGCTAGTGGTGTTAAGGAAAAATAAACGATTGAAAAAGGATTCAGTTGTGTATTTATCAAATAATAATAACTGAACGTCGAAAGTGAAGCGTGAGTGTATGTACATATACTCACGCTTCATTACCCTACTGGGTAGACAGAGACTTCGGTACGAGTTTAGCCACGAGCCTGACACACTGCTCGCACCTCTACCACATTATTAAGGTCTTTCATGTACTCTTAATGACGCACTTCTTCAGTATACTACTGTTATGGATCTACCTGGACCTGCTCTCTCATTCATAAGAGCCCTATTAACTTTTTTAGTCATAACCAAATGTATATACTTAAACAGGATACGGTGTAGACTACACTTTGTTCCACCCAGCTGAAGCAGTGGCAGTGTTTTACTCCGGGCCACCGCCTTCAGCCCTATAAAGCGCAAGTCCGGCTGCATATGGAATACCATTCTTATCTCTATG